AAGCTGAACGCACAATGACTAACACTAATTTAAATGGATACCAGCAATAAAATGAACAATGAGCGTATCACCAATAACATAACAGATCAATATGATGGTCATTAAATATATGAATTCCTGTAGCCTCTTAACAATTTGTTCTGAAAATTTAATTGCTAAGAACTCTCTCAGGTAACAGCAGCGACCATCTCACTGCATTAGTAGAACAGTCATTCAATATATAGCATAAACCATGTAGTGATGCATATCTTTTGAATACACTAATTTATGCCAGCACAAAGGAAAATAAAAGCAACTCCAGATCTTAGAGAAAAATCTCCCCAATAATAAAGGTATATATTAGTCCAAAACCTGCAAACGCTTTCCTAATACAGTACTCGGAAGAGACTCCAAAAATTACTAGTTCAAACTTACCTTCAGTTTCCAGCTGACCTCCCAAAAGACAAATTTTGATCTGTTTCTGGAGGAGACCAATTTATAGCTCCCACGGACCAATTGCTGCAACAGGAATGCTTTGCCTCATACTGGGAGTTTGCCATTTCCTGTTCTCCCTTGTGCAGAAGGATGTGACACACTGGAAAGTGACCTGCAGGACAGCGAGCACACATCATGTTCAGGAAACGATCCCTGCGAATGAACATTGTGTGTTCGCTTTTCCTGAAGTGTAAGGGAAAAAAAAAATAATAAAATCTCAGCCTATTCCTGGCACTGAGCTAGTGCAGTCATTCCCTGCAGAGAACTGTTGCCTTTCCTCTCCCTGAAATAGCAACTGACTTTACTCTGTGCTGGAGCCGCCAATTGCTTGATGACTGAAGTTTCCCCCCACCACGCATCTAGAGCCAGTGGGGCTATCAACCAGCCAGCTACTCCATTCAAGGCCAGTGTACTTTTAAAATCCAAGCTCTTTGAGACAACTGTGTGTGTGACTGGCTGGAGCACAGCAGTCACTCCATAAAAGGGAAGCAGTTCCACAGCAAGACTGTTGCTCTAAATTCCCATCCCTTCTTCTTCTCAGAAGACAAAAACATGCAGCATCCTGCAAAAGGAGTGACCTCCCTGTGATTTTGCTCTGTTTCTTAACCATAGGGCCGGTTTTAATCAAAGAAAGATTTTTGGATGGAGTCAGGAAGAAAATCTTTTTGGATGGCACTAAGTGGTGCAGCCCTCCTTAGACCAAAGTGGCATGTGTCTATTGACACAGGGCCTGTGGTGCTGGGGGACTGTGGTACTGGCGACATCTCATTTGTGCTTGAAGGTGGGTCATCTACTTTGATCCTTGGCGGATTCTTACTTTTCAGGACTGCTGTTAACAGGGAACCTTTGGCTGTGCCCTAGGGTTCCCCTAACCTGTCTAATCTGAAAACTATGTAGCTGTCACTGAGTGGTGAGGATTTACTGTTGAATTTGTGAGATGCATAGCTGGAGCTGACCTTAAAAAGGGACAAGAACTGAGAGGCTACAGGCAGGGAGAGGAGAAGGCTGGGATTATTAATTTCAATGGCATCTTGGTTTTTGGTTATCTTAAAATAACTGTGAAACAGTATGTCAAGTATTTTGTCAGGAAGGACCTACAGGAGATGAGATACGAATGAAAAAATAAATAGCATTGGAGAGTGACTTCAACCTGTCACAGACATGAAAAAAGAAAGCATCATTTTGAAGGTGCTTAAATATGCAATATTGGTCTGTTACAATTTGTACCTACTGCAGGTTAACAGGAAGGTGAGTTTGACACTTTGAAGGAAGCTGTACTTTAGCCCTGCCCTTTGTTTTAGCAAGCGTATGCTTGAATTGGAGCCCATCTGCCTTGGCAAGGGTTTGCAGTTGATAGACATGAGTGTTCCTTCACACATTCCCAAATAGAATATGGCTTTTTTTTTTTTTTTCCATGTAACTACCTCTGTATTATAATCTGTGCCTTCAGATATGTCCTTGTTAGGACAGTGAGTTTTGGTAAAAATGAAATAATGAAAAAAAGGAAAAAATGAGCCTAAGATGATGACAGTTTTGGATCCTCTCATTCCTTTCCCAGTGCTCCTTTTTCAATATACTCAGCTGCAAAATTTTGCCAGAAACTGCTATGATGCTCAGTGTGTGGGCAAGGACCTGATTAGAGTGCAGAAGAGACAATTCATTTTTTGAGAGTATTCCCTCACAGAGTTTTCTGCCCACTGAAAGATCTGCACCTCACTCAAGACAAGATGTTGGTCTCAGCCTAGTATGGTTTATCACAGGAATCATCCTGGGCTTCTTCACCATCTAAAGAGAATGTTTACCCATAATCCACCCCTACAATGAGGTGCATACCCAGAAAGAAAGGATTTCACATGAGGAGCTACGCATATCAACTTCATTTTAAAAAAGAAACATGCATTATAATAAGAAACTTTATTTCCTAGGGAGTTGCCCTACTACAATGTTTTGTGATCTGTTCTCGTGCCTGCTGACACTCATAAACAATCCTTTGGTGACAGTGCTGGTCTTCTCTCCCACTGATAATTAAAGAGACCTGCTCCAGCAAAGGTGAGCAGATGGGAATGGGAGCAGGACGGGAAAGAAGCATCTTCTGTGAGCACCTCCCAAGGACTGAAAGGCTTTTAGTGCCATTTGTGCACTTGCCTAGGTGTGAGCACATGTGCTGGGTCACCGGTAGGTCCCAGGGGCCTGCTTGGAGTGAATCTTAGCTTATCAGGGATCTCAAGACTAGTGGTCTTGAGAAGGTAGGTCTGACCTTCACTGCACGGTCCTGCAAGCTGGTAGAAGCCTCACCATCCTGCCTGCTGTACACTGTCACCCAGACCCTCTGCTGATGCTTTGTTCTTGACCTGTGAAGCACTTGGACTTGATGGTGGAAGGGGCACAGCAGGTGGTTCACAACTCTGGCCAAAATTTGTACCTCTGCTCCACCCTTTCCCATCTAGCCACATCCTCTTGAAATGCACGAGGATATTTTGTGGGAGCAGGTGACCAGAAAAGGGAAGGAAGGATGTTTTATTGCCTCAGCTCTTTTCCTTTCAGTGGATTTTGGCAGAAAGGACTGGTCTTTATGCTCTTTTTCTCTCCAGCAGAAGGGATATATTGCAGAAGTGTTTGATCTGAAGCTGTTTGGAGCAACTGCAATGTAACATTTGAATGCAAATGTGAAACGTTTGAAGCTGGAGTTTCAAATATACACTTCTTTTATTAACATTGTTTTGATCAAATAATTGAGAAAATTTGAGTCAATTTACATTTAAATACCATCTTTTTAACAGGGGATTTTTGTAATTTTTGATGCTTTCAACCTTAACTGCTGCATCCTGGAGCTAAAAGCTGTCTTTTTATTTTATTTTATTTTATTTTTCAAATGAAACAAAGACAAATTTTAACTCTTCATAGCAATATATTAATTCAGATTCAGTGGAAATTTGAATAGGCCTGAACTTAAACAAAGCAAGCAAACTGGAACTAAAAGGGCTGCCTCAGCTTTTAGTAACCTTACCAATTGATCCAAATTAATTTTTTGAAAGCATTCCAGAATGAGACAGGCTGCTCTGGGGTCTGGTCATTGGTGTGTGTGGGACTTGTTTGAAGAAAGCTGCAAAGAGCAGAGCACGGTGAGGGGAACAAAAAAACCTGTGGGATGGGAACACCTCTTGTTAGTTCCATTAAAGTAGAAAATTAGTCAAGTGCATTGACTGTGCCTGCTTTGTGAGCAAGCATTCATGTAACAAAAATACCATCCTAAATTGCCTTGTCAAAACACTGCCAGCAGTGTTTGCAGAGATCGAGTATTTATTTGGACACGGAGACTGAACTTCTGCAATGGACTTAAACAGACCAGCTTATGCTGCCATTTGTCACTTTTAATTATATGTTTCAGTGCAGGCTATATGGCATAAGACTTACTTTCTCTGATGCACAACTTCCCACTTAGCCCATATGCCTCCAGCCTTGCCTGTGGCACAGCTGACCAATAAGTCAGAGCAGCCATACGCAGGTTCTGCTGAGACCAGTGCTGCTAGAGGACTTTTCTCTGTTCAGTGTCTTAGCAGTGGCAGCAACAGCATAACAATAAGCAAGTCTGACTACCCATTCCCTCAAGGACTACAGAAAATAGAGAATCATTACCATATTTTCAGAATTGCAAAGAAACTTAGTAGGCTGGTGAAAAGTAGAAATTAGGTAACCTGGTTTCTTGTGAATTCTTTCCTGTGGACTTCTTGATGCCTGGAGTTCACATTGCAACATTTCTCTTGAAAGAAAAAACCTGGATTTTTCTCACCTACTAAACTATTTATAGTCACAAAACTCATAAGAAGTAAGTGCCTTTAAAACTTTGGCTGCTTTGTTAAATTCTGGCTGAGATTGCCTAGGAAGCTCAAAAGATACTGCTTGACAAAGCTACCAACAGCCCTGCTCTGTAACCCTCATTTCTGTAGGGAGCCAGGCTAGAATGATCCCTGTGTCCTGCAAATGAACACGAACCACCCGTGTCTATGGTTTCTTATTCCCCTTTGCCAAGTTTGAATCTTGCAGTGTTTAGCCAAACTGGTTTCATATACAGGTCTGCAGTCTTCCTCCTGCCAGGGAGTGTTGATGTCCTCTGGCGCAGGAGGATGAGCTGCTGGTGAGGGAGCCTTTGGTGGCACTTCTGTGTCTTGTACTGGTGGATCTGGGCAGTGCCCACAGGACCCTGGTTTGAACGGGAAAGAAAAGCAGCTCAGCTGGGAAGCATGCCACCAAAAACATGTCTTCACCGAGAAAACAAATGGGCTGGAAACACTCAGGTGTAAATCCCCAAAACTGGTCTTGGAAGCCATGGGATAAGAGGTTACTGGATAGATACAGTATTTATTAGCTAGGAAACGAGAGTGTCTGTGTTTCCATCAGGCAGCACAGGACCAAGTTTTTACCTGGCTCTTCTATTTGCCTATTACAAGTGGCAGGTTGCTGTTCAGGTTACTGATCTCTAACAGAGACATTCTTGCTATCTCTTTCTTCTGAGTTCTTGTTCTCAGTTGCTTTGATATGGCTCTTGGTGAGGTAACAAGTGTCAGCTTTGGGGTCACCTAGAAAAACTCTAAACTTGAAGGTACCAATCAACAATTCACTAATCAGCTGTGGTGGAGGGAAGGGCTAGAAAAATGTACCTTTTCCAAGAAAATTGGATTTGGCATCATCTGATATTTGCACAGTGGAAAATTCCTGATCCTGTCTCTACACCTGTCACTGGCCAAGGCTAGAAAGCTGCAGTGACTGGCTTCACCCCACGTTCCCATGTGTTTCCCTGCCAGCTACCTGGGCAGTGGCTGGGTGATGCTATTTCAAATCTGCTAAAAAAGTATCTGCTCTGATAGTGAACCAAAAATGTAAAAAAAAAAAATAATGAGATGATATGGGATCTCAGTGCACTGACATTGTCTGAGATAAATTTTGTAAAGAAAACTTAACTTCTTTTACTATTTTAATGAGCTGTAGTAGTTATTTTTAAATATATGAAAGAAAAATCAGAATTAGAATTTGAATTAGAGTTTGAAATAGAATTTGAGCTTTTACTTTTAATTCTTCTCTTGCTTCTTTGAATTAATGAACTGTTCTACTGTACATCATTTGCAGCTTTTGACCAAAGGGATGCCTAACATCCATAACAATAGATAGGCCTTTGTAAATGCAAAAATAACTTAGATAAGAGAACTTGTAATCAAGTTTAGGTGTTGGAGATGGAGTGATTTGGATAGATGATGGCTGCATTGCAGGTCTGCATGTTCATTCCATACCAGTTTTACCATGATGCTGACTTTGTGTTGGGAATATTCAACTCAAATCCCACAGATTTCATGAATGGGGTTTGACTTATCCTGGAATAGTCACAGTCACTTGTCATCATTCCATTCCTTCCCTATAAGACAGTTTAGCCACAGTATGTACAGAAACTGGTACTACATTTGAGGGAAGGTCAACAAAAGGTTGAAAGGTTTGGGCTGTGATGAAAGATCAAATCCTGGAGTCCTTTAAATATTTCAGGTCTCCTCTGAGTTTTTTAACACACTTGCAAGACCTGGTTTTGTGTGTGTGTGGTTTGCTGTTCTGTTGTTGTTGTTTGTTTACTTTTTAATTATTCTTACTTTCATATTGTTAATCTTTCAGGATTAATGTTGGCAGGAAATATTCCAAATAAAAAATGCATTGTGATGGAAATAAAATTACAAAATTCATTAAATTGATTAACCCTCCCATCTGGCACTGTAGAATCATGGTAGACACACAAGGGCTTAAAGAAGACCAGGAAAAGTTAAAAACTGTTGCCTTGAACTTCAGATGAGGATGCATCTCACTTAATTTCAGCCCTCTTTAGAGGTTCACACACAGTTTATTAACATTCTGAAGTGCCCTCTAGAGCCAGGAGAAGAAACAGCCATCCTAAAAGGCTAGTTCAGTCCATCTCTTCCATGCACCTGCTCTATAACACATGACTTGTTAGAGACAGCAGTTCTTTTTCCTCTCCTGCCTTGTTCAATGTCCCACAGGTTTGTTAGGTTTATGTTCCAGTTTCAAGTATCCTGTCCCACTGAAACTTGGGCTGCTCTGGGCCAGAGATGGTCCCTTAAACAAGCCCTTGCTGTCCAGCAGTGCTAGCAGGAGATGCTGTTGTGGAAGACTGTGGGTGGCAGTGGTACATCCCTGCCTGTCCCCTTCGATAATGGGCCCTTCTTGCCCATGGATTTTTCTGGTCCCTTTTGACCCTGCTGACATCAGCTTCCTCCACTGTCTCCTGGGATAGAAAGACCAGAAGTTCACAGTTACTCATGGTATAAAGAAGTATCTTCTCTTGCCTGTTTTCAGCTAAAGTACTCCTTTCACAGAGTTACCTTTATGACAGCTGTTTGGCGTCAGGGAAAGGAAAGTCCTTGGGTTTGGCAGTGCTGCACTGAGAGTTGTGCAGAAGGTGATCCCCCCTCATTCTTGTGAGTGACAAGTTGTCAGTCACATTCTCAGTATTAGCAGAGCACATGTACAAGCCAGACATATAGGGGCTTACAAAGCTGCACTTGGGAATGCAAAGAAAGAATGTTATGGATAACATCACTGCATCACAGTTCTAATGGTTTCTTCTAAGCCTAGGGAGACTAAGATTCAGTTTTAAATGGCTGAATCTGAACTGAAAAAAAACCAAAAACCAAATCAAATCAAATTCAAATTGTTACTATTTTTGTCAAGGCAGGACTTTTATTTTCAGGTCAGGTCTTCCATTCTTAAAATATGATGGCTGCAAAGTGATTCCTCTTGGTAACCACCAGGGCTGGGAAGTATAATCAGAAACATTTTGACTTATTGCTAGTGTGCTTAGACAGAGGGAGAAAGGGAAATGCTTCCTTACTGAAGGCAGATAGATATTTTTGTACCTTTTTTAGCATTAACATTAAGGCCCAGCCTGGTGTGAGGGCTCCAGGACTTATTTTTTACACATTGTCCGGATCTGTTCAGAAAGAAGAGCTGTCAGTAATATAAAATTCTTTGAAAGGAAATTTGTAAAGAAGGAGTGATAGTTTCATCAGGGAGTTAAGGTCATCTTCACAGTACTAAATCTGTTAATGGGAGATCTGGCAAGAGCAAGTCCCCACTCCCAGGGGTCTGGAAACCTGTGCTTCCAGAAGAGGGGAAGCTGGCCAGCTGCAGAGCGAGGACATGATGAGGACAGGAGCTCAGTGTTTCTCCCATGCTCCATGTTTGGATGTGAGCTGTGCCTGAGTGCTTGGCTGCCCGGTGTCCCTGAAGGGATGTCAGCAGATGCTCTTGGCCTGGGTGGATTCAGCCTACTTCCTACACCCTCATGAACAAATGATCAGGACATGGAAGGGAGGAAGGGAAACTTGTGAGAGAATGTGCTTCCCTGCACCTGCAGATACTCCCTGCATGACTGGCAGAAGCCATAAGGGCAGGGCATGGCTATGTGACCTGTGGTTTGCAAACACATGCAGTTTTAAAAAAGTACTTTCTAAAAATTGCATGATATTTGGAGGTACAAAGGCTTGGGAGTGTAGTAAACTCTTCTGGTAGCATTGATCAAATGCAGCCCTTAAAAAGAGCAGGTAATGCCTCTTTTTACCAGTCCAGTAATAAAAAAAACCCAAAAACCAGCCCACGCCAAAACGAAAGAAGAAAAAAAAAAAAAAAAGGGAAAAAAAAAGTATTTCCTTATAAGTTTGTTTTTGTTTTCGTTTTTCTCTAACCTATCCCAGATATAAGCAGTAAAGAGAGTCCTGGCTATTGGGTCTAGCTGAGCTGGGCCTAGGACTAATTTTATAGAAAACATTAAAGCTGTTTGTATCTCCCCAGGTTAAATGGAGTCAAAATAAACCCTGTTGTCACTGAGGGCAACACAGAAGAAATTGTACCTTCTACTTTGTTTCTCACTCTGAGAAGATGCTTTGCAGACAGATGGAAATTGCTTAAGATGAAACAAAAAAAGAAGTATTTTCAAGGAAGACAGTAAAATAACATCTTAACTACAGCATTTCCTTTGATCTTCATGACATTTGGAGCTCTGAGGAAAGGGAAATCCTAAATTGCACCAGGGAAGAATTAGATTACCAATGACCACTCTTCTGACTCATGCACACAGAGGGATCACAGTCTATGCAGAAGAGGTACTTGTATGGAAGGCAATCTCCTCTTTACCTCCTTACAAGCTACACAGGACTACATGTTTAATATAGCTATTAGGATAGCTTTTTTCAGGTTGTTTTGTAGCTCTGCTGCCTCTCATGTTAACTTACTGCAATGCTTCTCAGCTTCAATGAGGCCTAGGACCACAAATAGTAACTAAAAGGCTCCAATTGGAGTGATGTGATTTATAGATCAAGATTGCAAATTATCTATTTTAATTATTCACCCCATCCCAAGCTGTAAGAGAAAGCATGGATTAAGATGATACGTAGTGGACATCACCCTCACATTGCATTTGTGTTGATATTCACTGAGACAAAAGCTTCTCTAAACAAACAACTGCACCAGTGCTTTGGCCAGTCATATTCTCAGTGATTTCCGTCATCTCACTCATAAAGCAAAACCGTGCCTCTTTAGAGTGATGTCTGGAGATCAGCATCCTTCTTCTTTTAGCCACAGTACAGGCCAAACATTGCACCTGAAACACTTCCTTCTTCAGCCATTCTGTAGATGGGTCTTCTCACAGTGAGTAATGAAGGAGGCTAGAAAATAGTAATCTCTTTCCCTAAAATCTCTTCCTCAGTAGGAGTCTTTTCCTCTTTAGCAGAGTAGATTGCAAGTGGGCATTGGTAATCAGGCTGCCTACTTCTCTCCACTTTTTATATTTCAGGAAGCATATGGAGGCTGACACATTTCCTGATGTATACTCAAAAATTACATCAGTTTGGATCCAGGGCCTCTGATTATCAACATGAAACTACAGACAACTCACAATCTCTTGCTGTTCTGCAGCAATTTCAATGAGCTTTGGAGGTAGCTGTTGTCACCTGATATGCACGGAAACAGAGGTAGGGAGGAATCTGGTGGTCTGCTCATTGCCTCATGGGCAGAAACAAATGGTGCATAGAGGTGGACTTAGTTTCAGATGAATGCTTGCTCCTTGAGGCTACCTGTGAGCTAGCACAGCTTGTGTACTACTGACCAGGCTATAGTTTTAAATTCCCTTGTTCTGGATCTTTTCAGGACTGGTGGGTTAAACTTTCCATTTTTAATGGTATATCATACTTCTGACTCTAAAAAACTTGATGTGATGAATACTAAATCAGCCTTCAATGCCATAGCATTCTTTTCTTTATGTTTCTTGGAAAAGGTTTCAGTAGGCCAACAGGAATCCTTCTCTTGTAAGGCCTCTGGGACAAATTATTTTTTTTTTTTTATAAATATGGAAGTGATGGGACAGCTGTCATAGGAATTCTCATTTGAATAGATGCAAGCAATAAGGAAAGAATATTGCTTCATGCAGGTAATTTTTAAAAACCTCTTAGAATCTGTTAATCAGTTGAAAACTAGCAGAGGAGTCTAGTGGAAAAGGAACAGGAGACATGGATGTATTCAGGGTTCCCCAAACTAAGCACTTTACATAACACACCTTATATATGCTGAAAAATAAGATGACAAAACAACGCACTAGCTCTTCTCTGAACATGCCTGCTTGCCCAGCTTCATGCATTTCCCCTGTTTTCATGGGTGCAGTGATACCAGCAGCTATTTTTGCTCTTAGCTCAGGGCTGTATCAGCTGCTGGACATCTCTGCCAAATTCCTCCTTTCCTTTGCAGACTCTGCATCCCAGCGTGCTCTAGGAAAAGTGCAGGGAACATCATGTTCAATCCCTGCCCTCCAGAAACACAGAGAGAGGAGAAGGACCAATCTCTTCTCCCTCAAGGATGTTTGTCCACCTGTGCTGAGGCACTGTGAGCTCCTGTTTTTATGAGGTGGTAGCTCATTTTCCTGGCTTCTCTGCAAAAGTGGAGGGTTGCAGATTGTATTTGGGCATTGTGGGTCACTGATGATGGAAGAAGAGAAGTGAGAAGAGTCAAGCTCTTGGTTAGTAAAGGAGGAACAAAAATAGTGATGCAGGATCTTTCCATGAGGGCTGCAGAGGTGCTTAAATGCAGTGAGTGCTCTTCTGCAAGCCTTTCCCCCAGATCCTGTGTCAGAGAATGCAAGAGGTAAAACAGGTCTGAAAGGCAGCTCTTAAGTGTCTAGATTAATCAGAGAAAGCTAGCATGTAAAGGCAGTTATTCTCTGCTTGACCAAGGTGGGCACCAATGGGGAGCAGGTGAACACCAAGGGCTGCATGCCAGCCAGAAGTTTAAGACCAGCTGCCTTGGAGGAAATAAAATTGCCTAAGGCATCCTGGTGATGTGAGTGTCATGGTTCAGAGTGGGATGGGAAAAGATGGGAGTTCCCACCAGGTAGACTTGAACATTGTCACCCAGACCAAAACTAGGGGTAAAGATTTTCTCCAGAGAGGAGATGAAAGATGAAACAAACAGCTCTTTCTGCTTTCCCTTTTTGGATCTTGTGACTGTGTTGGAGGGGTTGGAAACGCTGGTATCTAGAAGGACATTTTGGCAACTGAAGCTGGCTGCTGCTAGTCCAAAATCTCTTGAGATGTTTCCCTGTGAGGGTCAATGAAATGAAGGTGAAAGGGTGTTCCAGATCCAGCCAGCCACTGTGGGCCCCATAAAAGGGCAGCCAAGCCATTCCCACATTTTTATGTGTTTGATGACAAAAGAGTTGGGAGTCACTAAACTGAGGGGCAGGAGATGTTGTTTCCAGCTATACTGAACCTAAATCTGGTGACTACATCCAATGTCAATGACAAGTGCAAGTGGCAATAGAGTTTTGTTACAACTGAAATCCATGTCTCTGTCTACTAGGACTGTAATCAAACATTTGCATGCACCTTGGACAGAATTACTCTGTATTATCTGGATCTAGAGAGATGCCAAAGCAGAACCTTGAGAGCCTTTTATAGTCCCTGCTACACCAAAGAGGGGCAGGCACCAGCCTGTCAGGGCACCACCAGCCCTATCTGTCCCTGCCCAGCACCTCTTGGGCTCCCCCAACCCTGTCCAGGTTCCAGGACCCCATTCCAGCTCCCCTGGGTCCATCAGCCCCTGCCTCTGCAATACAGAAATAGGGCCAATCTCAAGCTCCCTATAGCCCTGCCCAGCCATGGTATCACTGCACCAGGGATTGTGTGATTAGCAGCATGAAAACCTGTTAGTGAATCATACAAACAGATTTTACGGATTTAGAATTGTGTGCTTTATTTAGAGTGGTTTTGCTTCTATATGCCAAAGACTTACATGAAGCTCTGTGGTCCAACAGAAACCTTTTAATCTTTGGTCTTCATGTGCCAAATTATTCCACTAATATTAGAGAGCCTTTTGCTATGTTAACAATAGTCAAGACTTTCAGAGAAGGTAGCCCATTCTGAGGTGGATAAAGTATCTGCTGTGCAATACTTCATGCATAGAAGTGTGGAAAGTCTGGAAACTTTAGGTTTGGAAGTATGGGAAAGAAATATCCCTAACTGGTCGTCAGAGGTACCAACTTCCGTAGGAGAAGCAGCAGCAGAGCTTGTGAGTGTTTGTGCTACCTCACTTTCTTAGAAATCATTCTGTTTTAAAGAATGAGATTCTAACTGTTTGCTTTCTTATCTAATGTAAAAAGGACCCTCTAAAGATTAAGAAAGAGTCTCCTGACTCACAAAGAAAAACAAAACTTTCGCTCTCTCGAGGTCCGTTTAGTGGCAGGACTGGGGATTTCTTGTCCCCTCGCCACGCAGATGCCTCTTTTTTCTCGAGAAGACACCAACAGGCGAAAATAGCCGCTTCCACGGCCTCACAGATGTAGAAAAGATGTGACAGATGAAGGAATAAAGAGCCGTTCCCTT